TGCTTGGAAAAGTGCCTGGCACATAGTAAGCACTTGCTAAAAGTATAAAATTCTCACCACCTTCATGGTCCAGCTAAGGATCCTAAGACCCAAACTGACAACCCACTGCCACAAAACAAAAATGGTAACTGCGCTTTGAAAATTCTCTGCAACAACTTAATCCCATAGAAAGAGATTTATTTTTATTTATCTATCTATCCATCTATTTATTTATTTATTTTGCCAGCCCATATTTAAAAAACAGTTTCTCTTGTGGGGTGGGGGCCATACTGTACTGAGTTCCTTCAAAAGAGGTGGAAGGGAAAAAGAGGGGTAGGAGAAAAAAAGACTGGCCATTAAGTTGATAACTTCTGATGTGGATTAATCAGTAGAAGGTTGGGTGTGGGGGGTAAATATTTAAAGTTTGTATCAAAAGTAGTTGAAAGGAGGGGAGCCTTAAGCATCAGACTTCAGCTCAGGTCCTGATCTCACTGTTCTGAGTTCAAGCTCACGTCACTCTGCGCTGACAGCTCAGAGTCCGAAGCCTGCTTTGGATTCTGTGTCTCCCTCTCCCTCCACCCCTCTCCCACTTGCACTTAGTCTCTCTCTCTCTCAAAAAATAAGTAAACATTAAAAAATTAAAAAGAAAATTAGCTGAAGTGAATTCTTAACAGATTTTCTGCTCTACAACAGATTCTACTTTCCTATATCCACATTTTCTTCAAATCAGACCAACCCATTCAATGGTTAAAAACAAGACAATATGGGGGCACCTGGGTGGTTCAGTCGGTTAAGCATACTTCTGCTCGGGTCATGATCTCTCGGTTTGTGAGTTCAAGCCTTGCATCAGGCTCTGCGTTCTTAGCCTCTCTCTCAAAAATAAATATACATTAAAAAACAAAAACAAGACAATATGGAAATACCATGAACATTATAATTTCCACTAGTTCTTCTGAGCACTTGCTAATACATTACAGAGTCCAATCAATTTGGCCTTAACTGGGAATGTAATTTCCAGGACCATACTCAAAACAAAATTCCACTGTAATTATTCTGAATACTCAGAATGTTAAGACTATCTGCACCATTAGTGTCATCATCATAAATAATTTGGACGTTTTTTATATGCTAGGACCTACGCTAAAATACATTATATTGTCTTCTAAAACCTAGATAGCAATTCTGTGAGAGATAATTATTACCTCTACTTACAGATCATACACTGGGGCTCACAAATTAAGCGTGGAGTCAGGTATTAAGTGATGGAATTAAGATCTGAATCTAGGTCTCATTCTATAGTATGCATTTTTCTACTTTTCCACATTGATTCCTATTTAACATTAAAAACGGGAGGGACAAATGAAATAAAGAAATGATAATCTGGTCAACTGCATATCAAATCCAAAAACAGCCATGTCTTGGGGCACCTGGGTGGCTCAGTCATTTAAGCGTCTGACTTCAGCTCAGGTCATGATCTCACGGTTTGTGAGTACAAGCCCCGCGTCGGACTCTGTGCTGACAGCTAGCTCAGAGCCTGGAGCCTGTTCGGATTCTGTGTTTCCCTCTCTCTCTCTGACCCTCCCCTGCTCCTCCCTCCCTCCTCCCTCTTCCCTCCCTCTCTCTCTCTCTCTCTCTCTCTCTCACACACACACACACACACACAAATAAAAAACATTTTTAAAAATTAAAAAAAAAAAAAAAAGAGCCATGTCTTGAAACTGCTGACAACCGAACTTATCATTTCTTTCACTAAGTTATGAACCTTTCTTCCTGGTAAACAGAAATTAAAACAATTCAAGTTCTTGACTAGCTAACATACAAAATTACATTGGCAAATATTTACTGACTGCTTACACTGTTCTAGTTGCTTGAGGACACAGAAGCAGAGAAGACCTAGCCCTGTCATCTGGTGGGAGAAGGTAAACATTAAGCATGTAAACACATAAACAAGGTGATTTCGTATACTGAAAATAATGTGAAATGATAGAAAGCCATTTAAGGAACCCCCTGAAATAAAGTCATTTAGGGAAGGCCTTTGTGAAGAGGTAGTACAGGAGCCTGAATCTAAACGATGAGGAAACAGAATTGGAAGCTTTTCATTGCAAATGAAAAGCAGTAGACAGCACAGATGGTGTAGGAACTGCGTACACCATAGGAAAAGAAGTTTAGATCTTAACCTGTTGCAATGGGGTATCACTGGAAGATTCTGAAGCACAGGAATGGCATCTGTTTATTATGCTACAGAAAGAGTACTTTTAAAAATGATGGCAATGGCAGTGCCCGGCCAGCTCAGTCAGAGAAGCCTGTGACTGTTGATCTTGGGATTTTAAGTTTGAGCCCCATAGTGGGTGTAGAGATTACTTAAGAATAAAATAAATCTTTAAAAACATATGTGACGGCAATGAATGTTTCAGCCAGACAAATTAAAAGAAGCCTTAATAAAATCAGATAGAACCCACCTATGGCGTACATCTTCAAAAAACCTACTTGCTTTCTCTGAATTAGTTTCTTTAAAATGAACAAGAGCTTGTCAATACAACGTTATGAAACAAAGGCTCAAATGAAAATATCTTTGGGAGATCTAACAGTTACTTAAATGCACACTGGACATTAAACACAAATCACTAAATAATGGATGCCAGAACAAAAAAGAGAAGCAAAAGTGACATCAGGAAAATGGACAGAAAGGCTAGGAATGCCAGGGACCTACTGCACAAATTTGCCGAAAGCAGACTTAGATACCAAACTCAAACTAAAGGAATCCCAACTGTAAAGAAATATGAAACTAAGTAAGGCCCAATGAATAAACTGTTTTCACTGTGCCCCCTCATCGCTCTCCTAAATGCTTTACTTTACTTACATTGAGATGATGTTCATTAAATGTAAACACAAAAGGACTATAAATAAATACCCTTAACCATTTTAGAAAGTTCCATTCCACTAGGAAAAAAAAAATCAAATTTTTAGGAAGCCAAAATCATTTAACTGTATAAACTATATATAATACTCTTCAAATGAAGTGTTGTCTTCCTAGAACAATAATCTTTTTCACTCACGACATCAACTTGGGAAATAAGCTTAGGCAAAATATCAACAATGGTAGAGGCAGAAAAATTCTGGCTTCATAGTATCTCATTATTACTAACCAGGAAAAAAATTCCAATTGTCATTTAAAATCCCACAAGGCAGGGATGGGGACCAACCTATTCTTGCAAATGATGTAACCATACTGTTAAAGCACCAGAGCTCAAAGGTAGAAATGTTAAATGCTTGTATAATGTAGTAAAAATATTTTAAGACAAAAGAGAATATATTCTCAAACTCACATGAGAACTTGCTACCAGTGATGAACCAAGTCCATTAAAGGCTAATCTTTTTTTTTTTTTAATCTTGAAAACATTATTTTACAAAGTTAAATGTGGCCATTGTCATCTGATGTTGGTGGAGTAAAATCCTAACTCCACCCTCTTTCTGGCTAACATTAAGGAATTTACTTGACATTTCCGAGCCTTAGTTTCCCTGCCTGTAAATCAATGATTTAAAAAAAAAAAAAATCTACGTCTTAGGGTTATTTTTTAAAGTTTTATGAGATAGATCTATTGTAAATGACAATAAAGGACTGGGCAGATAGCAGATGAGAGTCTTTGATGATACAATCTTATTTGATACCGTATGTTCTAACTTAACTTCTTGGGGAAAAATAACTTTGATCTATTAGTAAATACAGATAATCTTGTATTTCTATGTGGCACATGTTATCCAAAGAACCACAAGACACTCTGCCAACAATAACTTTTTATATACAAATGGTCTGAAGATTGGGGCCTATGATCTTATAAGTTTTATCCATCTGTTCTCTAAAAGGTAAACACAACTCCAACACTACAGGGACAATCGCAGAAGAAAAGTAACTAGCTGATGGGTCTCACAGGTGACATGTCACAGAGGAGAGAAGCAACAAAAGACCTAAAAGTCAAACAGATATAAATGGATTTAGGGTTAGCTCTTTCTTCTCAGCAGGAAGCAACAGTGACCTGTGACTTCACACTTACTCCTAAAAGATCTGAAATGCTTTGCTACCAATCCATGCTTCCTGACAGTTTAATCTACCTCTTTTCTGGAGTAAAGCAGCAAAATGGAAAAAGAAAAATCCCCAAAGGAGACAAAAAAGCAGTCACGGGGGGGCGGGGGGAGGGAGATATTATATATTCAAAAAGCACATTTCTTGATTTCCTGTTTTGATTACGTAGGACATTAAACCCATTTCTTTAAGAAGGTATTTCAAGTGCTGCAAAACAGCCGGACATTTTTTAGATGTTAAGGTATTAGGGCAGACATGGACCAGTTCTTTCTGTTATCCAGAAGCCCTATTTTATTTGCAGCAAACCCCGGTGCAGGGGACCCTCCCAGGTGGTCGTCTCGGCTGTCCGTGCAGCTCGCGTTACTTATCACCATTCACCCAAGTAAGGCCCTTCCGACGACACATCGCGAGTCTCAGGTCAACGTAAACCAGAGTGGTCTAACACGGTCCAGCCCAGTACGTGGATTTGCTACTGCTTAAACCAGAGCCCGTCTATCATCAGGAAAACCATTTGCACGTCAAGGCCTATGAGAAATAAACGGACGCGACAATTTCCGCGAAGGTTCCGTAAAGGGAGCAGCACCTCGCAAGGCTCCGAAAAGAAGTAATACCCACACCTCGAAAGATCTAGGCCCAACGGCCCAAGGTCACACACACACACACACACACACACACACACACACCCCACGTCGGGAGCTAGTGGAGGGAAGAAAAAAAAAAAGATCCAAGAAACGACGAGCCTCCTGCGGTTCGGGACGACCCCGGCTAGGAACGGCTAGGAATGGAGTCTGGGTTTGGGAACACTCGCGTCAAAGCTTGAACGTGAACACCACCAACCGAATGCAGTGGCTCCGTGGGAAACCCCCCCCCGGCGTTAAGGGAAGGCTTTCCTTCCACGTCCCCCCCAGTCTTCCCTTCCCTGGTCACCCCCAACACTCACATCTCCGGAGCCACTTCATCCAATGGTAGACGATAGTGGTGTGGTGTTTCTTGTTCTCTATACACCAAGACGACAGGCCTTGAATAGATTCCATGGTGTTGGTTACCGACTGGAATTTTCGATCCAACGAGGACTCCAGACCCCCTGCCGAAGAGGCCGACGAGGAGGAGGCCTTACTGCTGCCTCCGCCGCCGCCGGCCGCCATCTTCCCGGTTTGCACAAGCGCTGCTGCTCCTCTGGCGGCCGCGGCGGCGGCGGCGGCGGCGGCGGCGGGAGCGGGCAAAACAATCACTGCGAGTGCGTGAAAGCCGTGGGTGGGGAGGGAGGCCAGGGGGTGGGGACGGTGCACGCGCTAGGCTCTTCGAGACGTAGGACGGGAGGACTAGCTGCCGCGCACGCTGGCGGCTCCTACACGCTGTAAGGAGGGGCTGCGGGCATCAAAGGTTTATCAGAATCGTTCAAGGGGTTGTGTTTGAACCAGTCAATAATAACGGAAGAGGTACGCAGAAAACACGTCCTGCGACGCCTTTCAAAACGCCTGGCCCCGAAACTAATGGTTTTACACTCTTCGGCTCTCAAAGCTAAGGCTCGTCCCCACTCCTAACGCCACACTCCTGTAAGGGTGGGCGTTAATAGCTCAAATTTAATACTACCCGATTGCCCCTTCAGTTGCAGAAATCTTTCTCCTTTAGGTCCTCTAGCACAGCAAAGGCCCAGGGCTACCTAGTCAGGATTTTTTTTTGCAACGCAATAGCAGCAAAGGCACAGCAACAGTATCGCGCACGCGCTGCTTAGCCCCGCCTCCCCGCTTCCTTCTCAACCTAGAAAGCAGAGGGAGGCGTGATGGCGGGGCAATCTGACCAATCAAAGGACAAGATCGAGAAGCGCGCGCAGAAGCCCGCAAGCCCCCAGGGCCAAGAAGGCGCTTCGATGATCTGCGCGCTTGCGCAGCAGATCAGCGTGTAGCGGGCTAGGAGGAAGAACGGAGGAGGGTGAGGGAGTTGGTCAAACTAAGGAGAGGTTGGGGGAGGGGCCTCGCCGCTCCGCCCCGCCTTTGGCTTCCTAGCAAGGCGTCCCTCCTGGGGCTGTCCAGCTCACACAGCAAGCCGGAAAATTCCCACTGCTCAGAGGCCACTGTTACCCTCTGGCTGCTGCTGCCGCCGCCGCTAACTCCTCGGGGCACCTACGCGCCACAAAGTGGCTGGCAGCCATCTTGCCGTACCTTGGAAGATGCGCATGCGCCAGTTCTAGGGACCCATTCACTACGCAGACTCCCAGAGCAAATAATATTTTACACTCCCTTTGGACGATACCATTCACAGCCAGTAGGCTTTTGGGGTTATAGGAAGAAGTGAATGAAAAATTCCCTATAAATTTTTCGAGAAGAGGAAATAATCATAGGCAAGATGTGCTCTCACCTTCGCCAGTAATAAAATGTCACAATTGCCTAATACATTATAATTTATAAGAGCCTCAGCTGTCTCTTATGTTGGTTAGCACAACCTAGATTAAGCATTCCATCGTATCTGCCTGCGTAAATCCTATGGGCAATTTTGGAGGTTCCTGTGTTCCACTGAGCACATGCAATTATTGTATTTTATGTCTTTTGCCTCTCTGCAATGGACTCAACGTTTCTTGAGGCAGAGAGCCTGTTTTGTGAAGCTCAGATCTAGTATTCATTCAACGAAAAGTTGAACGTTTTGTGCCAAGTACAGTTCTAGGTATTGAGGAGTATAACAGCAAAACAAAAAATCCCCTCCCTGTGGGGCTTAGTAGCAGGAGACCATAAACAAATATATATCAGAAAGTAATAACTTCTTTTTTTTTTTCAATGTTTTATTTATTTTTAGGAGAGAGAGAGACAGCGTGAGCAGGGGAGGGTCAGAGAGAGAAGGAGTCACAGACTGAAACAGGCTCCAGGCTCTGAGCTGGCAGTCAGCACAGAGCCCGACGCGGGGCTCAAACCCATGAACCGCGAGATCATGACCTAAGCGAAAGTCGGACGCTTAACCGACTAAGCCACCCAGGCGCCCCCAGAAAGTAATAACTTCTATGAAGAAGTATGAAGCAGTGTAAGGAAGAGAGAGGATATTGTGTGAGCAATCCTATATGCGAAGGGAAATGGTTTGGTGATCCAAGAAGGCTTCCGGAAGGAAGTGACACTTTATCTGAATGCTGAGAATAAGGTAACCAAGCAGGTATAGGGAAGGTGGAAACATACTGGCAGAAGTAACACCCAAGTGCAAAGACCCTAAAACTATAAATGTCTCGACATATTCGAGGAAGAACAAGGAGGCCAGTGTGGGTGAAGAAGAATAAGAGAGGGTACAAGTGGTAGAACATGAGGTCTGAGGTGAAAGGAGAGAGTTCTTGTAAGGCCTTGCCTGTCATTGTAAGGATTTTGGCTTTCAACTTTGATTTGGGGAGCCCTTCTACACAGAGGAATTTTACCTAGGAAAGTTAAATGGCAGTCTTTTTAACTGGTTGCTATGTTAAAAATAGATTTAAGAGCCACCAGTCAAGGAGGCTATTGGAATAATCCAGACAAGGAAATGATGGCTTGCGCAAGAGTGGTAGCAAAAAGATACTGAGAAGTGGTGTCACGTTGTGGACATATTTTGAAGGCAGAGCCAAAAGAATTGTTCATGGATTTAAGGAGAATATGAGAAAAACAAGAGTCATGTATGGCTCTGGGGTCTGTGAACTGAGCAACTATAACTCTGTTTCTCAGCCTTTTTTTAAATTATTGCTGCCCCTAAAGATTCTTTTTACATTTTTTTTTCCTGATCCCTCAGCCTCCATTGAATTCTAATGCACAGGTACCCTGTATATCTGTTTATGTGCTGCATGTTTTATTCAATACAGAGTTCAGAAATACTAAAATCTTTGGGGTGCTTGGCTGCCTCAGTTGTAAGAATGTGCAACTCTTGAACTAGGGGTCATGAGTGTGAACCCCACATTGGATATAGAGATTACTTAAATGAAGAAAAACTTAAAAAAAGAAAGGAATAAGATTGTGTTGTGTATGTTTGAGTTTTACAAGCCACTATAATATCTAAGATTTCTTCATTGCCCAATAGCTGCATTCCTCCTTTAGTGGGGTGACATTGCCCCCATTAAAAATACATGAACTATAGGGCGCTGGATGGCTCAGTTGGTTGAGCATCCAGCTCTTGGTTTCAGCTCAGGTCATTATCTCACAGTCCGTGAGATTGACCAGAGCCTGCTTGGGACTCTCTCTCTCTCTCTTTCTCTCTGCACCTCTTCCGCCATCCCCTCATAAATAAATAAACAAAATAAAATGCAAGAACTAGAAGAATGGAGTTGCCATGTTCTCAGATGGACCAGGGGAAGAAAGAGAGGAGTGGTCCTGTGACAAATGAGTAGGAATCAGGATTTCAGTTATGGCAGCTTGAGTTTGAGATATCAGATACATAAATGGCACTAAATATATGAGTCTGAAGTTCACAAGGAAGATCCAGGTAGGAAACACCAATTTAAGAATTGTTAGGATTGGAGCTTCCGGATTGGTGAGCTCATGTTTTGGAGAGAGGTACCCAAAAAGGGCATAGAAGCTCCATGCCCTTCACCATACCTGGCCCTGTGCATCTCTTCATCTGGCTGTTCCTGAGTTGTATCTTTCTATGATAAAGTAATGACCTAGCATGTCATGTTACCCAGGGAACTTTCCAAACAAGTACCAAAAATCCATCTGATTTCTGAAAAGGAGTAGATGAGACTTGGGTGACCAACAGAGTATAGCTGGGTTCATTACACAATTCATGAGCCAGAACCACATTTTCATCTCTTTAGGTGACCTCTTCCAAACATTTTTATTGAAAAATGAAGTATATCTGGGAATCATCAATTAAACCTTTTTCAAATGTAATATATCTGTGTATATAAGATGGTATTCAGTGAATACTTGAAAATGTACAAATTGTTCTTTCATACCTATTCATGAGCTGAGCTGTATTCTTCACAGCAACAGAGCTCAGTTAAATCCAACTGCAAGTAGGTTACTATAAGGTGTTGAAGATAAAATTTCTTCTAGTCAGTTTTTCTTTTAATATAAGTGCCTATTTGACTTTGCCTGTTACTTTTGTTTAATAAAGTCTGAATATTGCATTAAAAAATTGTCAGTATTTATGGGTGCCTGGCTGTCTGGAAGAGCATGTGACTCTTAATCTTAGGGTTGTGAGTTTGAGCCCCACGTTGGGTATAGCAATTACTAAAATAAATAAGCAAGCAAATAAAACTTTATTTTTTTAAATGTATTTATTTGAGAGACAGAGACAGAGCACAAGTAGGGGAAGGGCAGAGAGAGAGGGAGACACAGAATCCAAAGCAGGCTCCAGGCTCTGAGCTGTCAGCACAGATTCCAACATGGGGCTCGAACTCACAGACTGCAAGATCATGACCTGAGCTGCAGTCAGACACTTAACCGACTGAGCCACCAATATGAACAAAACTTTAAAGAAATGTCAGTATTAAAAAAATAGTAAAGAATTGTCAGTATTAAAACCATGAGATGGGTAAGGTTGCCTAGGAAATGAATGAGTGTAGATAGAAAAGAAGTCCAAGGACTAAGATATAAGGAGCAACTTGCAAAGGAAATTGAAAGGGAATGGCTAGTGAACGGAGAACTCAGAGAATAATGTTCTGAAAGAAGTAATGAGAGGTTGTCAAGAAGGAAGGACTAATCAGTTGTGTCAGATGTCGCTGTGTAGGTTGCCTGAAGACTGAGATAACCGCTGGATTTGGCCACGCGGTGATCCTTTTTTTTTTAGTTTTTTTTTTAATGTTTATTTTTGAGGGAGAGGGAGAGTGTTTGTGTGTGTGTGAGAGCAAGGGAGGAGCAGAGAGAGGGAGACAGAGAACACAAAGCAGGCTCTGCACTGTCAGCACAAAGCCTCAGTTGGGGCTCCAACCCATGAACTAGATCATGACCAGAGCTGAAGTCAGATGCTCAACTGACTGAGGCACCTAGGTGCCCTGGCAACATGGTCATCTCGACAAGGGCTGTTTCCAGGAAGTGAAGCCATGGGAGAGGGTTCTAGGGAGAATCGGAGAAGTGGAGATATCCTGTATAGACAACTCTTTCGAGAAATAAAATGGGGTGTGCCTGGCTGACTCAGTTAGTGGAGCATGTGTCTCTTGATCTCGAGGTATAAGTTCAATTTTTTAAATGTTTTTTATTTATTTCAGAGAGAGAGAGAGAGACAGTGTGAGCAGAGGAGGGTCAGAAAGAGAGGGAGACACAGAATCTGAAGCAGGCTCCAGGCTCTGAGCTAGCTGTCAGCACGGAGCCTGACCTGTGGCTCAAACCCACGAACCATGAGTTCATGACCTGAGCTGAAGTTGGACACCCAACCGACTGAGCCACCCAGGCACCCCATCAGGGTTTAAGTTCAAAGCCCACATTGGGTATGGAGCCTACATTTAAAAAATAAAATATAAAAAAACATAAAAATATGAGAGCAGAAAAATGGAGCTGAAGCTGCATGCAAGGAAATGTGAAATCAAGGGGTTCTTATTCTATAGTGGGAAATAATTGTAGCTGATGCAAATGAAAAAACTGGAGATTTTTTAAATGTTTATTTTTGAGAGTCAGAGAGACAGAGCACGAGTTGGGGGGAGCAGAGAGAGAGAGACACATACACAGAATCTGAAGCAGGCTCCAGGCTTTTGAGCAGTCAGCACAGAGCCTGATGTGGGGCTCAAACTCATGAACTG